TTTCCATTACCATCTTAAGGACACATAGGCTTGGAAACTCACTTAGATGGTCCATCTTCATGGGTAATGCGGACGCCAGCACATCGTAAATTCATGCCTCTCTAGCGCAATCGTCGTCCATGGCGGTGGTCTGCTTCGAACATGGTGACTCCCATATGGCACATTCCGTGATCCTTAAATTGCTTCCATCCACGAATGCAAATGATTGATGTAAGTCACAAACACGTCCGTCAATCGTGTGGACGCAACATGGGAGGTTTACATCATGGACTCCACTTTGCAATTCTTTTCGTCCACTTTTTCTCTGCTCTTCGTATTATATGATAGGCCCATCTTTGCTTCGTCATTGATGCATATTTTCCCGGATTGCGAAGGTGGGAGATATTTTGAAGCTCTGAGCTGCGTGTTTCAGCCGACTGTTCTGCATGTCCGCTAAATTTCAAGAAACACCATTCAAACACTCTGTGGATAGCGTGCATAGTATTTGACGTAGTGTTCAAAAGGACTGTTGAGTTCAAATGGTGAGCTCCGCATTGAAGTTGATAACGAAGTCGTTGGAATGGGACGAGCGTCGAATTTTCCATCGAACTCTTACGATATCCATAGAAAAAGAAGTTATTCAAGGTGACACCATTTAATTAAAGCTGTTTAGCGCCGCAATGCAGCAGATAACGAAGTCACCCGAATAAAACAAGAAGGGCATGCGCATTCATGGCAAGTTCCTGTCAAAATTTCGTTTGACTACGACATCGTGTTTTTTTTTGAGGAGTATCGTTGAAGCAAAAGCAATAGTAAACGAGCTCAACGAAGCAGTAAAAAGAGATTACACTGGGCTGCTTATATATAGAACGAAGACCGACTTCAAGAAGAATACATGGTGCGATGGTGAACAAATCGAACTGGATGCTTCTCTGACTACAGAGACCACGTCGTAAATGCACCCTGAACGTTCAGAGAACATGGAAAAGGTGGAATTACACGGAGGAAGGAGAGTAGCATGAGCAGTATTTAGGCTTCTCAACAAGCCACCGACCGGCTAACGGTATATATGTGATGTCGGTCGTTTAAAACAAGAATGGATTACAAAGTTGTCTCTATTATATACTATCGATCTATTAGAGCTCTTTCATATGCAACCTATTTATTACAATGTCAACTTTTTATTTGCTGCGTACTACAATTTTCACGGCAGGGTATTATGCGGAACACGACAACAGTGATGCTGAGATATTTACGAAACTCCTGGCTGCAGGTGTCTGCGGTGGGAAATGAAAGCGCTGTTACCCTTTCTGGGAGCTGACGCGTTCATCAGTACACCATGTGCGTCCGTCGTTTTACCCGTCTTGCGGCCGATCAGTGTCATCAGCAATCCATCTGAGAGAGAGAGGCGAAACGAAAGTCCAGCATGGTGTGGTGGTGAACGCGTTAGTTCCCGGAAAAGTGTAATAGAGCGTTCTTCCCCTACCGTACACATCTGCAGTCAGGAGTTTTTCAAATATCTCAGCATCATTGTGGTGCTATCTATTATACTTTCGTAGGTCTCACGTTACGTTGACGTATTAATTAAAGAAATTTCAATTTATCGCATATGCAATGTTACCGTAAAGTTTTGAAAGCATTAATATTCGCGTAGTGACAGAAAATGTTTGTGCATGTGCGTGTTTGAGAAGAACAAATTAGCCTAAGTATTCGCAAAGATCTTCATATATTTCCAAGCAACGTAACGTTGATATGTAGAACACGTTTTTTCACGAAAAGGCAATTCACTTCAAAGCGATCAGGCCGATTTCATTTCGAAGAGTGATGGCTCAGGTGAGGTACTAATTTTGATATCTCAACCTAATCTTCCTGCACTGCTGTTTCTTGTACTTCCAAAATGCTAGTACAACTGGTGAAAAATGATCTTCGTTACAAAAGTGAGGTCAGGTTGCCCGTTTGCTTGAAGGACAATCAATAATCCCTAAAACAAGCGTGTTTAGCTTGATCTCCTTGTTTAATCTCGTCAAGAACGATCCATTGGGATGAAGTGGGGAAAAAGGACGAAATTATCTTCGCTTTCAAAATAGCTGTTCTCATACTGCGATCTTCTATTGCTTTGTAGTCTTGAATTTGTGACTTGTTGCGACAAGCTCCGGAATTGTGACGGTTTGAAGTGGACTCTGGATTTACTCGTTTTTCATCTCTAACAAATGCAGAGCTACTCGTTCTCATCCTCCTTCTACTTTTTGAATTTGCTAAATTTGCTAAACATCTTACGTTTCTCTCAGGTATCCTCCTTCTAGAAATCGAAAAGACTGTGAGTTTCTCAATGTTCTCTTTTTTCAGAAAGGGAAGACGAATGTGCATAGAAGTACTATAGCGGCTACCATATACTTTATGGAATGGACGGTGTGATATTTTATGATGCTTATTTCCTGTTATTTCTTATTTGTGCTTGTGGAGCAGTGGTCGGAGGCGCCCTGCAACACACACGTGAAATCGATCCCCGTGCCCATGGCCCACCAAGCTCTCCATCCCTACAGAGTCGGAAAGTTGGCACCAGACTTGTCTGGGAGGATAGCAGCACTAGCTTGTTTACATCGGTTGGCCACCGCGAGCCATTGTAAAGGCTAGATATGCCTTCAATCACCTCCTAACGCTTAATGAAGTCAAGTCGAATGCATGGCGCATCCCACAGAGATTGATCAACACCGACAACTTTATCGTCTATCGTTTATCCTTTATCCTGTTAATTTTCCTTTTCATGGCCAGCACTCAACCAAAATATGCTAGCTGTGCTCTGCATGGTATAGGTTTTCTCGTAGCCCAGTTCCCAGGATGAAATGACGAGTCGTTTTTCAATGGGTTAGGTTTTCTAGAAATTAGTACACATTTTGTGTCTTCAAATCCCAACCTGGTTCCCGTTGAGATTTGCGCCTTCTTGTTAGTATTATATATCATTTAAAATCTAAGATTTTGTCCTAAATTTTGTTTCAATGCTTTTATTGTCCCTTTGTTTTCCGTTGTGTTGTTTTGCCTAAGAAAAAATGAAGCAAGTCAATGAGAAGTGAATATTTTCTAAGAATTCAAGCTTCTACTTACACCAATAAAAGCTCGCAATAACAGCTACCAGGAAGCTGGGGGTGGATCGCGACGCACATGAAGTGCAACTTTGATTTTAAATGGTTCATGCTGAAGACTGAAGCCGTGAAAACGAATGAGAAATGATGCGCGTACAGCATACTGGTTAGAGGTGTCCTGCAATACACAGTGGATCCATCGCTGGTTGGATCCGGCGCGTCAGGCCGACCAAGCCTTCCATCACTACGAGATCATATAATTGGCACCAGACCTGTCCGGGAGAATAGCAGCACTCACTTGATAGATTAGCAGACCACGGAAAGTTGTTGTATAGGACATACGCGCATCCAATAACATCTGCAATGCTATGAATGGAATCGAATGCATGGCGTATCCCTTAGCGATTGATCAACGCCGAATTCCTTAAGTTTCTTAACTGGGGAGAAATCATGCGCAACTATTACAGAGTTTGTAAGCTTAAAAAAACGAAAAACAACTCGAAAAATAGGTGCAGTGGGATTAAATGGTAGCAAAGAAATACTCTTCCCTATAATTCTTTCGCGCACCAATGATTCGCTTCTTGGTTGTTTTGTGGCGTACGATATCTCTACAACAGCCATGGAGCTTTGACAAAGGCTTAAGTAACAGGATACGTCCTGTGGATAAGTTTGAGAAAGAAGGGACAATTACGTAGTTGGCAATTGGAGTCATATAATACACGCAGTGCACGCAACGGCATCCGACCAATGAGATGAATGCTTCTTTCTTGAAGTCCTTTAATAAGACTGAAAACCATTCGTAAAACTGTAACGCGACCTAACATCATAGTATCTATTCTAAGATATAAAGCTGTATGTCGTCTTTCTTGTGCTGCACAAATTTCAGGGCATTTGATTTACAGTTACGGAACAATTTTGTCACCTAACGTCCACTAAGCTTTCCCGCTTTTGAACTGATAGAAACACGTTGGAGTTAGTGATAACAAACACACTGACATGGGTACATCCATTATGAATATCGTCTATATATGAAGTTATAAATTAGTGCTAGTGCACCCGCATATGAATAGCGCTCAGCGTTCTCCACTCCTTTACCTAATAACCGAGATTCTAAACCCACTCATTAAAAAGTTTCCTCCATTTCTGACTTAATTTCAAACTTTTATACCGGTGGAAGTAACGACGGATCGTCAAGATGAGGTCATCCGAAAATGTAACATTAATGCAGTGGAAACATTTCTTGTATACAACGCTGTACCACAGAAGTTATGGTCCTCAGCTATAAAGAAAGAAAAACCAACTGGCCGATGTCTGTATGGTGATGAGGAGAACAGAAAGCTGAGGATATACAGTTATTTCAGAGTAGTGCTCTTAGAGCATATACGGCCAGCGTCAATGAACTATATTCGATTCCTTTGATTGAGCAGTGCACCAAGACGAAAGTGGTAAACGACACCAATAGTTAGTTTTGACGAAATTATTATATGGATGCTAGAGCTTCATGTTTGTAAGACGCTGTTTTCTAAATTTTCACAGCTTCCATTTTCCTTCTGTTTGTAAAAATGGAACAAGTCTCGGTGAAGAGCTTAGTTAAACAACAGAAGAATTTAATAACTTCATATCCGCTGTTGGTTTGACTTATTTACGAACAGTATTTATTTTACTTATCTTAAAGCAATCAGAATTGCCAACAAAGTGGGGCTTTTCAGGCAAGAGGGAAGAGATGGAAAAGTTGGCAGATGGCCCGAAATTGACTGAAAAAAGTGATCACGAACAACTTGTAACCCGTTTGAGGGATGCAGCCTCGAAAATCACTGACTGGAGTTACCGTTCAGAACAAGAGGACACGAATATCAGAAATAAGGAGGTCGAAACCATATTGTAAATGTCACTCGAACATCGTCTTCTTATCCCATCACCCTTTAGGTGACTTTAGCTGAGATGGCGGCTATGTATCGACTGAAAACACTCATTTCTATATCGGCAGGTCTGGCAGATGTGATTACAAGGGCCATGACGTGGACAAAGGAGAACGTGACGGTAACCAGAAATCCACGAAATGCTGATTTTCAATGGCGACTTCCTGTCAAACTCTGATTTTCTTTTTTTCATTAGTTTAGGAATTATTCATATTTAAAATGAAACCAGTTCGAAAAGTGATCTTTAAAAACCTTCAAGTGTTCTATGACCAGTTCTGAATTCTCAACTCACATTTCAATATCAGAGAGACACGTTATACAGGCTCAGAAGTTATCTTATGAAGCCAATCAGGCATGATTTCCTACGCATGACTGTTAAACCCTTTCTTCCATGTACTCACCAACCCGATTTTTGTTGTAACCACTGAATATTTGAATTTCTTTTACCTTTAACTTAAGTCGATGATTATTTATTTCAATTCAACAGGTCCATCTTAAAAGACAAGGTAGTATTCGACTACGAATAGCACCTATATGATGTTTTAAAACCGTAGTTATTCTTAACCCTTTTATTTACTGCCTATTCTTTTTAACGGCAGGGTACTTGCGACATATAACTACTACAATGCTGAGATATTTGCAAAACTCCGGACCGCAGGTGCCTGCGGTAGGGAACGAACGCGCTATTGTCCTTTCCGGGGAGTAACGCGTTCACCACCACACCATGCGGGTCCTTCGTTTCGCGTGTCTCTCAGCCAGTTCTATCGACCTTTTGCCATCAGCAGTCACCCGTCAATGGGATTGATCTACCTTAGATATTGTTGAAACTGAAAATAATATATGATAGCAATAAGGAAATTGATTCAACGACGATAATGTCTTGCAGCTAATCGAGAGTTGTCGAGCAAGTGATGTACTACCAATGGCTTTAGCCATGTTCGAAGCTACAAGTGCCATCGCCGAGATTTTTCAACTGAAATCAATCGACAGATCAGCTGCTAAAGTACTCGATCTCATTTAGTGCTAGCATAAGTGCTCCTTCTTATGTCCTGAACACTTCTGGAGGATAAAAAGAACTTTATTCAATTAACATTGCGGTGCCTTACCCTTCTTCAGAGCAAAAGTGATTCGAGTCGATTGTTCACACTAGTTCCTTTTTCCAGTGTCTGCCTTCGTGATATACAACGGTAAAATCTGCTAAAACAATTCCTGCTCCGAAGAAGGCAAACGCGCCGAAGCGTTAGCCGAATAAAGTCCTTCAGCAGCTTATCAATGGAAAAAGTACATGTTGATTGGTCATCCTGAGGTTTAAGGAATGTCGGTTTTGAAACACTTCAGAACGAATTCAAGAAACACCTCAGAAAAGATGCCAAAGATGAATATGTATCGAATGGGAATAAATCGTTGGTGATTGGAGATCCAAAAGTTTATATCCCACCATTAGAAATAAGAATTAACCACTACAGGTCAGTCCAATAATAGTGACTATTATTAATTTTGGACTTCTTTCTCCTGCCGTAGCGGCGCAGACAGCGCATTGGTAATTATTCGAGTTAGTATACACATGGCTCCCAACGGTTTACCACCTCATGGCTGGGAGGTGTTCTTGGGTGTCGGGCTGCGAAGTAAAACGAGGGATTAACCCCTCTAACAGGGTCTCCCATGCTGAGAAAGACTCCTGCGTTTCCACCAAGAAGCCCAGCTAAGAGTAAACCAATACCAGGAACCACCACCGTCCTGATATCAATTTAGTCGCACGGTGGCAGATCTCTTTCTCATTCACAAAGGCGGCAACTGCCTGTGTTGGTTACGAATTGGAGCAGACTTTGGCCACGCTGAATTTGAGACTCTCGGGAAATAATGGCTAAACTAGCAAAACTCCGAAGCAATGGAAATTACGCTGAGACCCGCACAACTAATGAAGAAGGGCCATTCAAGGATCCAAGTAAGCATCGGTGTTGTTCATCTCCGACCACAACAGTCCGGCACAATGAGTACCATATCACGTAAACTGTTCAGTTTTACTCTCCAATATACCTCAAGAAGGCTATCATTTCTTAGTATGGTTTACTTCGACCGATGTAATACGTTTTCTTAAAGACCGAAGATATGTGTTAAATACGCTTAATAGGAGCAGAGTGACCATACTCTGGATCCACCTCTGTCTCAGGTAACCACCGGGTCGCTTCTTGTCCGCGGCTACCCGTTATTCGCCATTTGGCGACGTGCCGCGTAGCCTCACGTCTAACTCGTTAGAGAACCCTCAGTTAGGAAGATCTATAAGTATTTTCAAACTTACGTATTTACACCATTTTCCCACGCCACTTGAGACCATATATTGTCCTTACAGTAGCACTTCTTGCTTTCGATTTGTTATTTCTCATTCATATTCTGTCAAGCCTTTTGAATTTTGGCTGTAGGTTTCGTCGATGCTCAAGTAATGTTTTTCTAATGGAATCGCTGATTGCTGGTTAGTTGCGTTCTCCCTGAAATCTTAGGATATCCGTGCTAGAGGTCGTTCCTGGATCTCTAGTACGGACAATCCGCTATTGTGTTGGTGGGAGTGAGCTAATTTCAGAAAGTCTGGCCGGCGCGATTGGTGGGGAGAGATGGGGTGGGCTTGGTTATCACCTTGCGAGTAATGAAATGCGTCTATAAAGGACTTGGTGTCTAAAAATGAATGATGTAATTGAAGTAAGCACAAAAAGGGGATTGTTGTACCATAAATAGTAGTGTCTTTTACAAAACTTATTATACTTCTTTCTTTTATTTATCATTCTCATGTCTTCTCTTCACATTTCAGAACCTGTGTTTATCTAATTGGCAGTGCGTTGATAACCATGATACAAACATATATGAAATCAATTCCTCTTGAACAAATAGATCTCAGAACGAGGTCAGTTCGACTCTTCTCTCCGAGATAGGATATTAGCAGTCACGAAAGTGATTTCAAGCGAAGGAAATTATATCCCAATAGAAGGGCTTTTGGAAAAATCCTTTTAGCATGAGTATAAAGACGTAAGCATTGACGCCCTAGAATAGTTACCTGAGGCTATAACTGAACAACAAGGATGGTGAGATATGAGCAAACTGGGAGCCTCAGTTTGTTCCGAGTTTTGCCCATATTATAACAACGTTGTGGTTGTACTTTACATACCACGCTGCCACAGGAAAACTATTCTTGAATTGAATAAAGCGCTGGATAAAAGTCAAATATCATACCCGAACTCATCAAACTTTTCCACCTATTGCCAATTCTTTGTCGAACACACAGAGTCAATCATTCTTGCATTAAATGTAATAAGGACATGGGTAAATACTCTTATTTATCATCATCAGATCTCTATTGCACCTTTCTTTCAGACAGGTCAAGGAACTAGTTGAACGCCTACCACCTATGTATTTGAAAGTGAAAGCCGAATTGCCCCTGTCGACATACATAACGAATCTTCTTCAAGATTACCCTGCGAATAAGCTACAGTTTCCACTAGCACCTCAAGTGAGAGTTTTATGAATACCTATAGGTTTCAGCTAGTATAATGGCGTTGTACCTTATCTTTCTTGCCTGCATGACCAAGTCTTCTATTAAGGACTCAGATGCAAAGGTGCATGCATTGTGGATACAGATCGTCATCTTATCCCTTTGCGATTTAGGTAGCCTAGAACGGCTCTGAGATTTCAGCAGCCTTACTGTACCCCTCCCACGCAACGCTGTCGAATCGGGGGCTCTTTCGGGATCAGGGGAATAAGGCCTGTTTCTTTTACTGTTTAGCTTTTTGATAAACACGTAAAGTTTACTGGGCTCTGAACGTAGGGTCATGCTATACTCAAGGGTAGCTTGCCATTCTCTCCCAGAGTGGACATGGAGCTTATTCGTTGGAGGCGACTCTTAATCCTCTTTCATGCACTTTCCAGTCATTTAATTGCAAGGTTTCGGCAGATTTGGCTCCCACAACACAATTCGCACAACCAAGAACACAACCACGCGCGAATGCATGGATATGTCTTCGTAAACGAAGAAGGTACGTATCACACCACCGCAGCAGAAACAGGGAGTCCATCCCTTGGATCCACCTCCATTTCAAGGAGTCATGAAGTCGCATTTGGTACGCGTTTAACCCTTTATTCTCTACCTGGGAATGCGCCACATAATCTCATGAATAAACGGCTGGAGATTGCTCAGTTAGCAAGATCTGTGGGAAATTAGATGGATCGGACACGTAGTACGTCTCAATGACGACCGATGGACAAGAATAATTAGCGACTGGATCTCTTGGGATGTCAAACTCACAGCAGGAATACCACCAACCGATGGTCAGAGCTTTTTATGGAAACTGCAGAAAGAAGATATGGTGTTGAACGGATTCATGGAGCCATGGAGTAAGCACAATTCATTGGGCTACTTTTGCTTGGGACAGGGAGAAATAGAAGGCTTACTGGCGTCCACTCGAGTCACTTGATAATCAACAAGACGACAGGTAATACTGGTGATAGGTTTTAGCCTGCAAAGTTGTACAAAAACAGGTCTCCCTGAATTTAACATGTAATAAATGGTCGTTTTTCCCTAGACTCTCTTGCTGTATTGCTTTCTAGTGCATTGTGAGCAGGTATTTAGTATCAGATTTAGCACGAAGTTTAGAATACGCTACCAGAAGATCTGCTGCCTTTGTAAGACACCGTATCAGTAGAGCGTCGACCACTTCTCTCCATGCTTTAGTTGAAATTCGACACTCTTCCTTACTGTGACTGGAAATTGCGATGTAGATCTGGGGATTTATGGCACTTTTTAGTTGATGTTGCACTTCAAAGTATCGAAAAGTATCGAATCAATTCATTGGTAGCCCAAAGGTGAGGAAAATACCACTGCAGATCGTCCTTTTTGAAATTTAAGGTCAACAAACTTGAAACGTCAAGAGAGAGATCAGGACAATCAGTAGAAAAAGAGGCCGTTGAAGGAAATGAGAAACTCTCGAAGGAATCTGAAGTCAAACAACGACAAAAAATGTTAGTATTTCCATATGTAACGAAATGGTTGGCGGCGGAGTGTAGCGGTTCAGATTGATGTAGAATATTAGCCACGCGGGTCTTTTAGTTGTTGTAGTTGATCTACCAGTCTCAAACCTGGGTAATTAAACCTTTAATAGATGAATACAACACTAATGACATGATAGTAACGATAGATAAGTAATGGTAGAGGAATGACACAAGTTAGAGCTTTGAGGTACTAAGGCCTGTAGTGAAGTGAGGCTAACAATGAGGCAATGGCATTCAAACATTATTATACCATTAATACAATATTAACAATAATAATGAGATTATAACGAAGTAGCCGTTAGTTAGCCGTGAGCGATGCCGCCCCGCGTCTATCCGTGGCCGGTGCGGCGGCTGAGGGAGACAGTATGCTGGGGCGGAGGGGGGAGGTAGCATTTTAGTGGATCGATGAGGACTGTAAGTTACATGAGCGTTGACGGTGCTACAGACAGTGAATGATGAGTCATCTACAGAACACAGTCAGGCGGCTGGTCGTGAATAACGCTATGTCAGCAACGTGAACTTTGAGCATCGATGGGTGCCACCATTGCCTAAAGGTAAGGGCCAGTAAGATAAATGGCTACAAAACTGATAAGCCTATAGCGGCTTAGCAGAATACATAGCATAAGTTGGCCGCTTAGCGGCATTGTACACATTGCGTACATTGTGGGAGGAATAGTACATGCCACCGATGGCATTGCAAACAGAACGCACTTGGCGACACCCGCCACTACTGACATCGCACCGTAGACAAGCTGAGAAACGAGATACAATAATCTGCTGACTACTGAAGGATGCATGTGAATGTGTGAATGAATGTGATTGAATAAGAATGAATGAGTATGACTAAGAATGAGTTGATTGAGGATGACTGAGGATGTAATTGTGAGGAGCGGATTATCCGCGCTACCGATCGGGGGTAAGCTGAGTGATGTCATGTCTCCGCCGTCGAAGGCACGTGGCTTATATCGGCTGCGGGAGTCGCGTGCGTATGCAACCGCGGTTAATCTGGATTGTTGATCCTGGACCGCAATAGACTCTACCTAAATGCCTGAAACATCAAACGTCATTAGCTTCGTTGTTTCACAAGGAAGTGGTAAATTGTTCCACTGTTACGCCTCCTTCGGATAAGCCATCGTCGCTATGCTACCCAAGTCAAACCTGAATCGCTATTGTGCCTGAAACACTGAATATTTGGACTTCAAATACTATTATTTAGATAGATAGAGAACTTTTCAAGAGAGAAGTTTTCTATACCATATCTAAACAAAAAATTTGAAATAATACCAAACACGAATGCACATATAACAATCATAAGGTTCGAAACTGCTAAACTTACAGAAAAGTAATTGGCAGTGATGGAAACTAATGTAAAAACACCGTAATTATTGGTGCACTCCTTGGGGTCCTTCCTTTTGTTTCCTTGGGATCTTGGGGATGGCTAGGCTAGGAGTTCCCAAATGAACTAGACTAAAGTGTTTGGAAAGCCTCTAACCAGCACGTTGCTTCCCGATGGACTGCATCACTAACCACTGCGCTGAACCTAGGTTTCAATGCCGTTCCAACGAAGTATACTCCACCTCTAACGCTTCCGGCATAAAAGGTCAAATATACGCTCAAAATCGACATTTTTGGTAGCGTTTTGATTCTACGTAAAACAGTTCCTATTTGAAGAGCAGAGATTCACTTCTACACATGTGGTAGACCGTCCTCGAGAAAGGTTATACATACGCGTTTAGATTTAGGTTCTGAAGGTCTTATAAACTTTGATTCGATGTTCCGTATGCTTTCCGTGAAATTCCCTTAGTAATTTCTGCTCGTCGACAAGTCGACCAATAAACATTAATAATTGCATTATTCTATCTGCTGGCTGCATCTCAACTTCCGTAGCAGAATCGTTTCGTCTATATTCAAATTCATGGCCAGGCTGACAATATTTCTGATATTTCTTTTCTGGTTACTTTTTAATGTACTCAACTGGTGTAGCAGACTATTTATCCACGACAAAGGAACCAAAAGCGATTGCGAAATTAACAAAGCCGGGCCGGAATGTCGACCAATAAACATTATCTAGTAGAAAAAAAAAAGAAAAGTGTTCTTTATTGTAACTTTGTTCTTTAAGTGTTCTGATGGTGCCGAGTGCCCTACATTCGTGTCCCATCCTAACCATCGGGCACGCCAGTAAATACTGCAACTATAACTATCAGATACACCACAGGGCATAATACCAGGCACACGTATTGCTTAGGGGTGAGACCTTGTGGCCTGTGGCGTGATCCCGCGATCCACGCCACTCGCTGGGATCTAGCCACCCTCTTAGCACGACCATTTGCCTTCTGACGACACGTGAACATCGCCGCCGTTCTCCTTCATCACCCTTTCTCCAGCTTAATCTCCCTCTTACGCAACTGATTCCGTTTGATTAGGTGGGAATATTGATAAATAAAGACTCATGCTCTTGCTTCACTAACCTCGGCTTGCTGTAGCTATGCACCTCTTGGCTAAGTATCACGTCATCAACGTGTATCTATGTCTCATCGTACTGGAACATGAATTACGTAGTATTACACCTTCTTGAACCATGTCAAACCTTAATAACGCCACTACAAGCCACAATGTTTGCTCATCATCCAATTGGCTTGACTGTAATCTCCTTTACAACTCGCATCTAATGCTTGTACATCCAATGCATCATTACTCGTGCTTGGCCACGGCAACTCTTCGAACAGCTACAACTTATGTATTAACCCCTTATTCTTATACTGTTAAACTGAACAATTGTATTCATTCATAAGTTTGTCAGTGCACATGCTTGCAACGTCAGCTATATTAGATTAGTCTTTCTTAAGCTTTATGAGGGCTTAATCTCCTAAGCGCTCACCTCAGCGCCATATAATCTTCGCACATCGTTCGTCTCTCTTATAGCATGTGAATTGTTTCTCGTTTAACGTTTTTATACCAACCACCTTACTTGCAATTTATTGCACACACATTTCTAGTCTAATTGCGTTATCGTATAAACAATATGTACATAAACGGTTTAGTCGCCCAAGTTTGAGGTGTCCTGCATTGTGACTACTAATCACAAAAAGCCCCGCGTGGCTCAGGCAAAGGCGAGCAGCTAATCCGATCGAATCGTCTTAACTTTACTTGGTATTCATATAACAACGAGCCGTCCGAACACTGCTCACTATGAGATTTGCATTGAGAAAATTTTACCTTTTTGTATGATTCGAAGCACTCTCTTCTGGAAAAGATTTGACTCTACCTTTTTCCACATATCACCCGTCAATCATGGAAAACAAAAAATCTTATATTGGTAATAATTTAGTGTAAATTGGAAAGAAGTGATGCCGCTTGAAGGTGAGGATAAAACTCAAAGACAGGAGGATGTGAAAGTAGAGAAATCGAGGAAAAAAACGGAAGCCGAGGGAAGAACGCCAAAAAGAAATGTTGGAGAAAAAACCCAGGAGAAATCTGCTTAGAAGAGTGGTGAGTTGTCTTTGACGAAATTTCGGACACTTCTTCATGAATGACAATAGTTTTGACTAGATTAACGTTTTCGCGAACAAGTGATTTGTACATGATCGAAACTATTAGTTCGGTATTTCAAACTAAAATAACGTAACTCTTCAAAATGGACTTAAACAATTTGAATAAAAAACAGTAGGATCCTGTGAAGTGTCCATGCTCTACTAGAGGTCCATAGGCCTTTTCTCTCCGGTATTTGTGATCGAGGCTCATTTATTGACCAGTGGGGGAATTCAGCAAGAGTGATTTCGTTCAGCAGCACACAAAATATTCCCGAATGCATCGCTGACTATCGCAACCATATGAGCCACATTTACCTCTATCACCTGTCGTCTCCTTGATCGTCGAGCGACTCAAACAGGCTCCAGTAAATCCTCACTTTTCCCTCTCGTGTGCAACAGTAGCCCAGTGGGTTCTTCTCGCTATAGGACTCGTTGAGCATCATATCTTTCTTCTAGGATTTTGGTGAAGAACCTGACCATCAGGTCGGTGGTCTCCCTGCAGTACATTTGACATTCCGAGGAGTACAGTCACTAACGACTTTCCCGCCGATTTTCGGTCATATGCATAACGTATCTGGTCCACCTTATCATCCAAATTTGATGTATAGAACGGCGTTTTCGATTTCCGATCGTTAGCATAGATCGGAGTTTCGCAGCCATTTCCCCGCTTGCGCGGTACAGAATATTCTTAGTGTTCTTTAAATTGATGAATGTGAGACAGAATGGTCTCTTGCACTTTTCCGATTCTTCTATGAATCTTATTATGGTGTGGATGGGGTCTGTATTCTCCTTCGCCCAGTGATGTGTCAGCTCTGTTTAGGACGATTCGAGTGAAGTTTGTAGACGACAGGCAACTAGCAGATTGGGCAATAGTTGCCGATATCGCGGAGGTCACCCTTCTTGAACAATTGCATGGTCTTACTGGTCTTCTATTGAGCAGGGACTTTGCATTCAAACAGGTAACGTGTGAAGAGCCGAGCTAGTGTATTTACGAGGACTGGAGGAAGGTTCTTTAGTGATCAGATCTTATCCTGTCCAGATTTGCTGTTGTTCAATTTTTCAGCGACGAAATATCATGTCGGATTTCATAAGGGAGAACCCGTGGTATGCCATGTCCATTATCCTTCTTTTCATATGAGGGCAAAATGACGTGGCTATTGAGGAGATCCGTGCAGTAATCGTGAATAATTTTTTCCATTGCCTTTTTGGACGTTGTAACTGTTCCGTCTGGGCGTCGGAGTCTATCCATCTTGGTCTTGTAATTGACGAAGCATCGGTAGGCTTTGCGAATGATTTTCATAGTCACTACAGCTTCGACCAAAATTGCTGCTTTTCCCTCTTGAAGACCTTTTTTCGCTGGACTGCACTGGTTTGCAGCTAGTATGATTTCACTCGTATCAGCTCAAGACATCTCTTGCTGGCTTTTGAACTCTCAGCTTTCATAGCGTTAACATGTAGACGTTGAATGAGCCGAGCCGACTAATGAGCTGAGTAAGTGCCAATTTATAGTGGCTCTGGGACATCGCTTTTTGAATTTACCGGCTTTTTCTCTTTTTTGTGTGAAATAGAACCTTGCACAAGCGAGGCAATGATCTGATCCCGTGCGGGGTTTCCGGACCAGAGCGGGATCAATTAGATAAAACGCTCGAGTTATGGTGTGGTCTGTTTCGTTATGGTAATCTCCATTAGGAGCCTTCCAGGTATAAAGGTTGAGCGAGACGCTTCCGGAATTACGAGCGACCACAAATGCTCTTTGCTGCCATGATAAACTCAGAAAGCCGCTTACATTGCTCGTTTCATCCTAATCCGTGGGTCCCAACGTGCCGGTCCTCAGACCTTCTTCTAGGTCTAATCCTAGCGTTAAAATTCCCAATGATGACCTTGAAGAATGTGTGGTCTTTTCTGTAAAGCTTCTCCAAGTCCATATAGAACGCTTCGACTTCTTCTTCGTCATATCTCGATGGCGGTACGTAAACGACGAACATTATCAAAGCTGGTATTCTTCTACATCTCTTCAATTGTAAAAGTCCGAGTTGTTAGCTGTTTGAATGAATCGATGTTCATGGTCAAACTAGCGTTGACAAAAACACCGACACCGCCCGCTTCTCTACTGTCTCATTTTCCCAGGAACACATATTTTCTCCGGTATCATAGACGGCGTTGAATGGGTGGAGTCGTCTCGTCTCGCCCAGGCCCATGACGTCGTACGTTATCCTTCTCGCTTGAATAATCAAATCTTCTATTCAGAATTCGGAAGTAAGTGTACGTGCATTGTAGGTAGAGATCGTCTCCTAATTTTTTGCGATCCAGGCAGCTTACATTTGCTCCGTGATTTTAACAAACCCTCCGTGTTTGTCCTACCCAACGTTGCTGTATCGGGGCCTCTTTAGAGGTCAAGCGAATAAGGCTCGTTTATTTTACTGTGTTTAGCTTTCCGATACCCCACGTATAGCTCGTTCGTCTCTGAACGTAGGAGCTGGGTACACTCACGGTTGGCTTGCCATCCTCTTCCAATTACTTGGTTGCAAGTCTTTTGGTCGAATTGACTAGAAGAATGCAATCCACATGAACGAGAACACAACCACGCGCGCATGCATGAATACGCCCTTTTAAATATGGCGAATATGTTTCAAGCGTATGCAGTAGAAGAAGAAAGTCCATCCCCTGGATCCATCTGTGTCTCGGGAGGCAAAGTCGCTTCTGGTTTGCGATTAACGCCTATCCGCCAACTGGGAACGTGCCGCAGTACCTCGTGGTTAGCCGACATCGGATCTCTGTATGAAGAAGATTCATGTTGACCTATATTAGAAGCCTAAAATTTCTATTTCTGCCTCAAATTTTGGGTCTTTTCCACAGGTCTGTGAATTTCTGAATTATTCAAGTTTTTTTAAAGCGATTCGTTTCTTACGTCAAATACAAGAATCTCGCACTGCTAGCATTCGATGCGTTTCCTCGCATTCATTATCTACGATGTTCTTCCCACTTTTTACGCTTGGCTTCGGCTGCTGCTTGAAAAGTTTCCCTTTCGTCACGAATGTTGTTGAATGCCGGTCAAGTCGATTATCTCTGGAGTCCTGAGATGGCCCGGGCTAGAGCGTTCTCACTTGGATCGCAAAGAATGATTTTCTCCCGAACAAGTCCGGTACCAATTCCCCGACCCCATGCGGGCTTGGTGAGCCTGGTGCGAGGTAGAACCATCGCCATGCGAGTGAATGTGAACATGACTACCACTGTGTTACCCACTCAAGTACCCTAGTAATCGAAAAACCAGCGACAGTGTTACGTCTTAGTGGAGGATGCGAAGTGTTCCAGCGGAAAGGACGATCTGTGAACTTTTGCATGACATGTTTCCCGAGTCCTCTACTGTTTTCGTTTTTCTGTAAGTCTACAAAAAGCAGAGACAGCATATGGGAGTACTTTTTACATAATCTATCTTCATCTATATTATGAGGTTCCTTGTCTTTATTAGGTCCTGCTACTAAATAAAGATTTTTGGCCTTCTTCATGAAGTATCGGTTGACCATCGTCTTGAGTTCAGTGAACGGCATCACTACCACTGCGATCCATGCTGATAACGAGAAATTTATGAAAGCGCTAAAAAGATACAATGGTCAAAATTGTTGCTCATTTGATTGAATGCGGCAGGAGTTGATGAGTCCATCGAGTTCCAATCACTTCTCAAAATGACGATTTCACCTGGCCTACTTCTCACACGAATGTAGTTGTATGGAATTCCACCGACTGTGGATATTACCTGTTCACTTTTATGATATGTGCAGTAACAAACGCCAAAAGATCTTTCAGGTGCTGAACAGATTGAACATATCAAGGATCTCTTTGAAATAATACATGATTCAATTTTCGTCGGAAACAGAAGTGTTCCATAGATTTTCTCGTAGCTTTTTCTCCGTTAAGTTAATCTCCAATTGTTGATGATAGTTACTGAACGCAGTGTTGACCATTGACTCACTCTCGACACATTCATGACGGTGAACATTGAATTTAATGAATTATTGAAATAAAGTCTATCTTTCAATTTAAAACCAGTGTATCTCAATTCATATCAGATTCACTTCAGTAACTGACAGGAAAAGCAGAGGAGCAGATCTTCCCCTAAAAGGTACTAGTTACCTTTACCCTTTTATTTACTGCCTTTTCCTTTTTAATGGCAGGGTATGTTGCGAAATATAACTCGTCTATAATGCTGAGATATTTGCAAAACTTCGGACCACAGGTGTATGGGGTGGGGAACGAACACGCGCTGTTGTCCTTACCGGGGAGCAGCGCACTTCACCACCACACCATCCGGGTCCTTCGTTTTGTCTGTCTCTCAGCTAATTCTATCGATCTTTTTGCCATCAGCAATCACCCGTCAACGGGATTGATCTGGGGAGCCCAAATCGGCATTGAACCCAGTTAAGCTGAGGCTTAGTTATAATCACAATCTTAACCCTTTTATTTACTGCCTTTTTCTTTTTAATGGCAGGGTATGTTGCGAAATATAGATAGATCGATAGAACTCGATAGATAATCGAATAGAATTAGCTGAGAGACAGGCAAAACGAAGGACCCGGATGGTGTGGTGGTGAAGTGCGCTGCTCCCCGGTAAGGACAACAGCGCGTGTTCGTTCCCCACCGCATACACCTGCGGTCCGGAGTTTTGCAAATATCTCAGCATTATAGACTAGTTATCTTTATTGTTCAACCATGATTAGATTCAGATTTTCTTGCGTCCACAAGTTATTTTTCGCTTTCTATCGCTGAGGATCGTTTCTCGAACCACGAAGTGTTTAAGCACGTGTAATTTCCTTCAGTGGGAGGGTTATGATGCCTCCAAAGAGTTACCAGTGTGGTCACATGCTGCCATTGAGTTAAAAAGTTCTAAGTTGTTATTTCTGAATTCCCACTTTGTTAAATTCTCGCTTATGAAATTTGGTTTAGAATTAAAATTCTGGATAAACAATATGTATCCATAAAGCGATAGACGATTGCGATTGTTCTAACACTTAAGATAAATCTACCCTGCTACTCTGTAACAACTTTGTGACCATCGCTACTATACTTTAACCTTTCCCTTATAAACATAAATACAAACTACATATCATATGTACATGTTTATTTATTGACATACATGCATAAAAAAAGCATAAAGCCAGCGGCGTTGGTCAATCCTTGAGAGAAGCGCCAAGATTTCGACCTCATCAAGCATCGTTAGAGGTGATTGACTGCATATATGACCTATACGGTGACTCGCAATGCTCCACCGATCTATCGATTCTGTTGTGTTATCTTCTCAAAGAAGTGTGGTGCCAAACTGCCGATCCTCCAGGGATGGAAAGCTTGCCGAGACAGGAACAAACGGTCGAAATGTGTGCCATGGGCTCCAAAAATTAGAATTTTATAGTGGTGCGACGAGTAAAACTTTATTCTGTTGCGAAAGATCTTCAGATTCCAATATTTTTATTGCAAACAATAAAAATTGCTATCAGCTGAAATATGTTGACTTAAAGCTGAAACCGGTAAATATTTTGGGACCCCATGACTTCTATGGAGGTCATATTGTCGCGAAAGTGTTAAAGTGACCTTCCCCGTCTTGAAGTCGAATTGTCAACATATTCTTTTTCGAACTTGTTTATTTTTCTCTGTAAAAAAGTTTTCTGGGCGATCTGTCTTTCACATCTACTCTGCAAATCTGAGCACTTTTGGCGTTCCAATCGTTTCCTCGTACCCATTATCCACGAAGGTCTTCCGACTTTCACGTGTGCCTTCGGCAGCTGCTTGATAATTTTTCTTTCATCACGAATGTCGTTGAACGCTGGTTAAGTCGATCCTACCTGAAGTCTTGAGATATCCGGGCTAGTGCAGTCTCACTTGAATTGCAAAGAGTTAACTTTTCTCAGATGAGTTTGGTACCAGTTAACCGATCCCGAAGCAATTATAGGCTTGGTAAAGCCAGTGCGGGGTCAAAGCACTGTGCTCGTAATGATTGGCATTGCTACCTTCGAACTGCCAGCCCCCTGTAAGTATTTATATGTGCATATATATATACATATATGTATATATATATTTGTATATACGTATGGACGCGTGTGGAGCAGTAGTTGGAGGCGCCACTGTAACACACACGAGGAATCGATCCCTGCGCTAATGGCTCACCAAGCCTCTCATCCCTCCGGGGTCGCAAATTTTGGTGCCAAATTTGTCTGGGAAGATAGCAGCACTGGCTAGATATATCGGTAGGCCACCACGAGTCACTATAAAGGCCAATATGCATTCAGTTACCTTCAAACGATGCTTAGTGAAGTTGAATGCATGGCGCATCCATGGCGGGATTGATCAACGCGGAAAGCTTTAGCTTTTCAGCATTATATATACGTATATATGTTTGATATGAATGCTTCCATTACAGACATCTAAGGGTGGTTAGGTACTTTAGCCCATTGTTGTAGAGCAACACTCACGCGCCCATAAGCAGTTGTACCCTGAGAACCAACGTGACCTTCGTAATCACAGGTTATTCTCAGTGGTTATTATTACGATATTTAATAGGTTGAAGAAGTGGCCAACGTACAATACTACCCTGTGTGATTATAGTACGTAAAGAGACTTTATCTTTAAAATAGGTAAGAACACGACTGAAACCCATTCGTAGATTGCCAACTCCTTTGCCAAACTCTCTTAGAGTAGACCTGGAGCTTGTTTGTAGGATGCGACGTGTGACCATATAACTTGTACTTCCCCGCCACTCAACATAAGAATATTGTCAGATTAAGAGGACCTATGGGCGAGTGTAGTGGGGACGGATGAGACGGGTGAACCACAGTGAAGGGAGGCGAACTGCGATACACATGGGATCGACTTTCACGCACCAGTACCACCAAGCCCTCCATCCATTCGGGATCGGAAAATTGGTACCAGACTTGTCTGGAAGGGTAGCAGCAGTGGCACGATACATCGGTAGGTCATCGCCAGGCAATATATAAGTCAAATATGCATTCAATCATAATCATTGAATGGATACAAAGCGCAATGGTGAACAAAAGCAGAGTTGAAGAATGCTAAGCAGAGCCATTGCCGTTAACGTAATATAGGTAGGGTTTTCTCATCATACGGTAAGAACAGAAAGGTGTCAGGATATTACGAAATCGATACGTACCTAATCAAGGCGAACTTACGCCAGAAGTCAATTTCGTAATACAGAACATGACAACAATTGGCATAGAGTAATGTATAAAGAATATGAGGAACATGTTAAATTATTGAAAGAAGATAGAGAACATCCTCTATAGGATTGAGAATTTAGCTTTTAAGTTGTGCGTTTCATGGCAAACTGGCCCGCATGAATGACATATGACCCTAATTATCAGTAGGTGTACATACTTTCTTCTGAATATCCATAAGAACTTATTTTTCCTTTCACCTCTTCGAACTACGTCTTATGTACATGGTTTGCAGTCAGTCATTAGCAGGTTTTAAATCTGCTAAACTGTGCAAGAAGCAATCCGTAAAGCATGGTCATTTCAGAGCTTCACAGATAAGAGGATGTCGATGCTTTAGATGAACATCTACCAAGGAACAGCGACTCATTTTCATGTACTACAAAAATGCTCTCTGTCGAGAGGTCCTCAAAAAATGACTACCGCTTTGGACGAACACGTTCTAACATCATCCACAACCATTCATCCATCGTTCAAGAAATGAAGGAAAGAACGCTCTACGGGAAAGAGACGCGTTCTCCCATAGCATCTACCTTGCGCGAGCCGCAACGCGTCGCAATGGTGATGGTGGCTCTAAGCGGTTTGAAAATTTGGGAAAATACTCATTTATTATTGTTGTATTTAGATTCAGCATTTTTTCGGCAATGTGCAGTTGGTAATGCTTTCAGTCTTTAAATCTCAGAAATTCAAAAGCTTCTAGAAACAGTTTGTACGGCAAAAAGGAAGAACATTCGAGAAGTTTATGCATCATATATGACTCATACTGTCGCAGATGCGTTAGCTAATAGATTTAGCTAAACTTAAGCCATTAGAAGATTTTCATTTAGTATATCACAATTCAATGTTTCTCGTAATGTTCTTGTAACCTTGTGAGTTCACCTTGAACGATGAGAAACCTCTATTCTTAACTTCATAATACTTTCTACCATTATAGCCAGCGATCTTCTGAAGCATTGTCCCTATCGCTTTGCTGGTTATCAAGTCTTTGTTTTTCAGCACCCTGTACAAGGTTTTTGTTTAGATGTTCTCTTCTCACATTGCCGAGTACTCCGTTGGTGAAGCAGTTGAATGGCTTAGAAATTTCTCTGGACTTATAGGGCGTACGGCCAGCCGTGGCAAATACGTTTCCAGAGGGGAAATCGCAAGGGTATACACTTTTGTACCTAGCTTCCATTTTTATTAATTTTCCTTCTTATAAGTGAGTGGTTGCAGTTGATTCTATCTCTCGACTGTTTTACCAAAGGGCTTCAGCAGAGTGGTGTTCTGAAGAATCACATTTCTTCTCTGAGAGTGGCACGAGAGCTGTTGGATGCTTCACTTCGCCATGGAAGAGCTGTAATGATTCATGTTCCTAATCTTTAGACTTAACTATTTTGTAGTTTGTACATGCTTTACAAGGGATATTTTTCATCTTTTTCATTATTTGTAAATGTTGTCCTTTGTCATCGTGTCTGTCTTTCCTCTTCTAAGTAGTGTTTTGCAGTCCGCATTCATTGCTCTTCCTTATGAAGACTATAGTGAAGTGATCAATGCTCCTACAAATCCGGTACTTTCACCTCAATCTTCCGTGTCCGTGGTTCTAGACGGTGACGAGACGTGAGTAAACTTCATTCTTCTTCTTTTTGTAGATCCTCTTATTACTTTAGTGAATGTTCTCTGTGACCATTCTTTATTGCCACACTAGCTGCAGTAGTGGCAAATTATGTTATGGATATATTCTATTGTAATGGTAATTTGTGTATTATGTATGAATGTATGTGCATGTACGTATGTATGTATGTATGTATGGATGGATGGATGTATGTATGTATGTACGTATGTATGTTGGCATGTATGTACCTATGTATGAATCTATGTTGGCATATACATGTATATATGTATGTGCAAGTATATATGTATTGTAGCTGTGTGCACGAAGAATCAGGCACTCAGATACAATTATTATTTCTACCTTGCTTTACAAAATGTCCAAAATCGCAGGGAACTTGCGTACATGGTTGGCTCGAAACGACCAAAACGAGATGACGCGTTGGATACGTTTTGCAAAAGCCGAAGGTAAGTTTTGTTCGTATCAGTAAACTTTTGCATTTCATTCTTAAAGGAGGCATCTAGTCTTCATATGGTTGAGTAGGCCGCATATAGCACAGTGGTCGGAGGCGTCTTGCAATACATCTGCGATCGATCCCCATGCCCCATGCCCACCAAGCACTCAATGCCTTCGAGGTCGGCAAATTGGTGCCATGTTTGTCAGGGAGGAGTGTAGCACTGGCTTGGTACATCGGTAGTCCACCGCGAGCCATTGTAAAGGCGAGATAAGCATTCATTCACCTCCAACGATGCATAATGAAGTCGAATGCTTAGTGCATTCCTCAGGGATTGATCAACGCCAGAGCTTTATTCTTTATTTTTATTATCGTTCTGAGTTTAGACAGGCAATCGAGTCCACCATCGTGCGCAGAGTCGATAATCTTCCGAAATTTTGTGATATTGTTGGAATAGAAGAAGTGTGTTCGTTTGTGTTTTGTTATGAATTACACCTGAAGCATTGTTATTTAACGTGATTATTCTTTAGGCAAAAACAGCTTTTTTCGAAGCTTTAATGGACCCGATACAATATCCGGAATGGTTCACAGACTCTGACATGAAACCATGGAAAACTATCTTGCTCTATGGCCCACCAGGCACAGGTGAATCTCACCAACATAAATATTGGCAGTTTTTGTCAGATTGTTAAAGGGGGAATAAAATAAAATATTTGCAATAGTTTTCCTAGTCTCAGCCTGTTTACAACTGTTACAAGTATAATTTACAACGAAGTTGTAGCAAAATCAACATATTGTGGCAATTTCTTTTTTTGGAAAACTTTTAGGAAAATCAGTCTTGTCTCAGGCGATTGTGCGGGAAATAAACGCAATACTTTACCAGGTATTGGTTTCATCGTTTCGTTTCGGGTAATTTTTTAAGACCTCTTTATACATTTATAATTAGAACTTTCATTAAACAGACGATTGCTTTCATTCCGTCGCTAGCAAATGAACCAGATCCGCTCTCTAGCTCTTCGAAGTTTGAGGGGATATACATCAAATATTTGTTACATTTACTTGGATACTTGGACGTCCCGTCCTCACTGGTCATGCGGACCCCAGGATATTCTCTATTTATCGCAGTGTTGCTGGTTTAGCCATTGTGTTTCCCTGGTGTCCCTAGACCAGCCTGGCCAAAGTCTGTCCATACATTAACTAAACGCCATATAAAGTACAATATAATACAAATACTATGAGGATATTGTTAAGTAGTGCACCACTTAATACGATGTGAGAGCAGTATTTCAACATTTATTGTTTTGGATAATTATTTGCTGAAACCATAAAGGTTTCTTCCTCGGACCTGATATCAACTTGGAGTGGACAGTCGGAACGCCTAATTCGCGAATTGTTCGACCATGCCACTGCGCAGAAAAGAGGTTTGTTCGTTAAAGGATTTCAGCGTACTGCACCGTTTTGCAATTTCTTTAGAGTTTGAAATATTGACGTTATCTCTGTTTATTTCTATTTCTGTTAGATAAAAGTGCTCTAGGATTTCACCCATTGATTTGTCTTTGTTATAGCAACAGTCGTCTTTATCGATGAAGTAGACAGCCTCTGTCGCACAAGGTGTGCCAGCGAGGATGACGCCAATCGGCGAGTGAAAGTAAGTGGCAGTTAGGTTAGAAAATGAATGTATGGGAGATTTGAAGCTGTTTTCTGTTTCTGTCTACATATTTGAATTAGTCTTGTTCTATGTTTTTTGTTCTCAATCCTGATCTACTAAACATCACCCAAATTGGTTCCTATCTGTCTGCGCTTTTATTGGCAAAGAGCCGAACGCCTCATTTGAAATGACGGCCGCTTGGAACGACACCCACTTTCAGGTAATGCACACCATGAGTCGTATGTGCCCAATGCCATTCACTGATGAGAAATATTCGTCTAACATTCAACAGCGGTATTGTTGTTCTCAAGTGGTCGGGTTCACAACATATGTAGAGTACATTTCTGTTCTCGTTTGTTGCTTATGTCCGTCTATTTCATACCATCACTATGATTCAGCAACACTATTTGAGAAGGGAAAGCAATCGAAATTAAGAGCTAAAATTGAGTTCTGTATTGCCTAAACTCTGTCCCGGAAAAGCTGAAGTGTCGCTTTTGAATTGAACTTCAACATCATTTTCTATCTATTTTTCGTGCATAATGATAATGAATTACCCTATGAAGCTGGTGCCTATGCCTTTCACGTAATTCTCGACGAAGAGTTTGAAGAAAATGAATAACAAGATGAAGAGGTCTAACATCAACGCTCGTCCAACAACAAAACAGCTAGCATCTGTGTGGCCGATAAAATGGCGGGAAGTAAAATGAGTCACACACTACTTGTAATGATCGCCATCTCCAACCATTCACACAGGCACGCATTATCATACATACGTACATACATACATACACTTGCACACACGTATATACAACACACACACAGAGACACACACACACATCAGTCATTTGTGACTCAAGGAGTATAAATTTGTTCGCAGCATAATTTAATGTGTACGTACTTTTTCAAGTGTTGCACTATTTTCAGACAGAATTGCTTGTACAAATGCAACGTCTTCAAACAACTTCGGATGTCGTATTGGTTTGCGCGACGAATTGCCCATGGGATCTCGATCCGGCTTTTTTGAGAAGGTATTTTTGTCTCTAGAAGTGAGGCTCCTAAGAAGTTGGAAATGAACGTACAGATCTTGATATAGTTGTGGCGTGCACATATCTGTAGAAGTTTAAGCGTAGCTCACACATCTCGAGCCTCGTTTTTTGATGATTTAGCTTAACCGGGGAAATGGTAAATCTCTGTCATCCAGAAAAATGCAAAAGTGTTTACAGAGCTTTCGCTTACAAAAAGTGGCACGTTGAATAAACAAACACCTTATTTCTACGGAACTATTTTTAACTGTTTCGAGAGTATACCTGATACTGAATGTCTGCAGCCTTGTATGCTCCTAATTTTTCGTTTTATGATTCGATTTATCCGTGCGCCTAGTAATTTCTGTACTTATGATATCCTACTAGTTTGTAGCGAAGTGGTTTTGTATCCACTAGTCTACCACACTAGTGTGACATTTCGTAGTCGGTTTAGCAAATTATGCTGTCATTTTTCTTTGTTGTCATATATCAATTATATCCACTCATATTTGAGTACAGTGCAGCTGGAAATCCATTTTACTTTTATTTTTTTTTCTACATGACTCTTCATCACAGCTACTATGAAGATTCCAGGACTTGCATTCGATTCGTACTCGTCGTCTGCAATGGCCTTCGAACATTTCGCGTGTTGTTTCTGCTAATGTTTGAAGATTTCGTCTTTTCTATGAATGTCGTGAAATGATGGTCGACTCGATTTTTCATACAATCTTGGAGATAGTTAGGCTAAGGCGTTCCACGTGGATTGGAGAACGTTAGAAAAAAGAGTTTGAAAACCTATAATGTTCCCAAAGATGCGCTGTGTGGAAGCACAGATCAAATCATTGATCAGCACGCAATATCTACTTTATTTCGAATTTCTCAATACATTCCTCACCAACAGTAAGGTAGTGACCGTGATTGATGCGTCAAAAGTTTAGTGGTCGATGCGCCATAATTTGTTGTAGTTCAATGATTGAACAATAAGACAGATAGTGCAAGGAGCCAGTTCAATACTTCTCGCTGTTTGTTTTGCAGTGTTCAACTATCGAAAACGGATTTATCGGCGACAGTTAAGTAATTGCTCCGTAATGTGTAGATGTTACCTATGAACTTCTGAGAAGTTGTGAATGAGTATTGCGAAGAAGTCAAGAAGTAGAAATCCCCGTGTAAAAATATTGACATTGGTCTACAGACTGTGGATACATGATGGACCGATGATGCTGGGTTTCGAACGAAATTGCTGGAGAGTAATTTGCTACTTTGAACGAAGTGACACAGTCGTCTGATGTGGCTGCCTGCACTGATAGTTTTATTGTTGAGAAGGTTGATCAGTGGAAACTCGTATCGAATTTACTCAGCTAACGCAACCTTCAAGCAATCGTTCCATTTTGGAGTGGTGTCGTTATCGATTGGTGTTGCTATAGGCGAATTGCTGCTCCGTCAAACTTACGACTCGTATTTTCGTAATTGAACCCTTATTGGTACCAGATAGATGCGGAGTATGATCATCATAGATGTCAGATAAAAACATGTTACATTATTTTGAGAAAGGTACAATCTAGACTTTGTCTAGATAGATAGAAGAGATTCTCTATGTGGTAGACAGCATTCTATATAAACATTCTTTAAGATAGTAGCTACCGTAAAGAAGTCTATGAAACCCGGTCAGTAAGGAACAAGACCAGAACATCTGAAGAACTTTGCGCCAGTCCTCATGAACACACTAGTTCGTCTCTTCACATGTTGTCTGTAAGGATGCAAATGAAGAACTAATCTATAAAAAACGAGGATGACCGTGGCCTTGCAGAAAACGAGACCTTCGCAACATCGGAAACTATCGCCCAATCTGCCAGCTGTCTGCCGTCTACAAACTTTTTACCCAAGTCCTACTCAATGGTTTTGGACACTAGAGGAAGAACAGTCATGTGAACAAGGAGGGTTACGAAGAGAATTCAGTATGATAAACTCACGTCCACGTCCACGTTCTAACGAGATTGAAGTATTGCGACAGAATAAATGACCACTCTGTTTCACATTTATCGACTTAAAGAAAGCGTTCCACTAAGTCCACTCAAAAGAAGTCATGGAAGCCTTGGACAGCTACGGTGTCATCTCATAGTATACAAAAATTCTTTATGACTTAAATAGAAATTTGAAAACGAGGATATCACCATAGCCTAGGATATCACCATATTCGTTAACAATACCAACATCGACATAAAAAGAAGGTTTGGACAAGACGATGCCTTCTCGCCGAAATCATGTAGGTCACACTCGACGGTTTCATGTAAGAATTGGAATGGTACATGGAAGCGAATGCCGATGACAGGCAAGAATATCATCTTAGCTTTACTGATCGTTTCTTTATAACACAAAGCGTTTTCTTGGCTAAAAAAATGTTAGCTCAATTCGGCGATGCCTTTGGAAAGAAATTAGACTTTGACTAAACATCAAGAAAACGATGTTCATGAGAAACAAACTTTGTTCCGATGCTCTGTTCATGTTCATTGGAATGATTATCTACAAATGCTACAAATATGCTTCCGTCGGGAAGCGAGCATGAAGAACAACTTAGCTCCAGAGTAGAGCAGAATGATGTGAGCGGTTTCTTGAACCTTAAAGAACATCGAAGATCTAGTGATGATGATGATTAAGAACACTCGACTCCATGGATACCTTTTCGGCTTACTGAATCCCCTTTCCGTAAGGCATACTCCGCAAATCCGCATTCGAAAGGACGATATTAGGAGTATCTCGTATCATACAAGTGAGGATCACAAAAGAATGATTTGATACTCAGCATATTTCTGGAGCGAGCATAACTGAGCTGCATGCGATGGGGAGAAGTGGAAAATTTGCTTACGTGTTCATGAGAGACTCAACGGTGAACGCAGAGACAGGTGATACATGTAATATCTCAACCTGCAATCCGTACCCACGTTAGTCATACTTTGATATGCACTCGGTTGTGAAGGAGGTGATGAGATATGTGTTGATTTTAATGTAATTTGTTTTCGGTCGTTTTTTTTTTGCCACGTGAACATTGTTTGCATTATTTTCCGTATCACGTCAATTTCTTCACTTCCATAGGTACAGTCGACGTGGTCTGACAAAAGCTTTTTCTATAAGTTCAAGTGTTGAGACTTTTTTTGGTGAGATCATTCGTCACCATAACTCTAGTACCGATTGCTTGTTTCGTGTACTGCCAGAATGTCATAGGAACTTTTACTAAATGAGACGGAGATATTTTTCTATGCAAAAACATACGAATCCGAAAACTGTTTCTTGCTTACTATGCAAATATAGCAGTATGGTAGGCCGTTGCTGACTAGGAGGACACTAAGCTATCAGTGCCTTCAGGAGTATTTGCTACCGTACACATGGAGTTTAAAAGTTAGTACAGGCGGGAAAATATTGGGCGTTGTTCTATGTCGCTACTGTTTCCTCGTAGTCACGTATGTGTGAATTCATAAATGCTACTGGAAATGTAATAATGCAGAAATTTGCCAACCTATTCAGAGTGTCGTTGAAGTGTTGATTTTTTTTTCAGATTTGAGAAAAAGATATACGTTGGACTTCCTGATCTTCAATCTAGAATTGTAATGCTTAAAGCACGTCTTCAGGTTGGTTGCTGCAAAGCATCGCTTGTACTCCAGATAGCTCAAACATTGATTTTAATTCAATTCAGAATGGATAGGTCTTTAGTTCTAAAGCTACGAGTTGTTTCTGACATCTAATATTTCGAATTATTTGTGTGTGTGTATGATGTCACTGAGGAATTGTAACTACATGTTGCTACATTAAATCGTCAATTTCCCATACTAACATCGATAACGGCTCATGTACGCAGGATAAAATTGAACAAAAGGTTTTAGAAAAGTGTGGATGGATGCTAACATCTTTGTTTTAAGCCAAATAGAAATACTCCCAAGACCTCAAACAGTTGTTTTCGATGACACAAGGCATCGATGACTCAATATTTCGAAGAAAAAGGCATCGGAAGTATCACTTCACTTGACCAACACTGACCAACTGTTAAGAGTTGTGGGGAACAAAAGAAAATTTAATTTGAGAATCTTTGAAGTTAAGAAGTAGATCGCAGCTGCAATGCATAACTTTTCTGAGAATTAGTGGCTAGAAAAACGCTCAAATAATTCCGTCCGACACATCTGATTTTCGATATCTAGGATCCGATATCACTTGTTGCGTTCGATTGTTCTTCGAAATATTCTAGATTTGGTACGAATGTCTCTTGTAGGATTGTCATCTTGTGTATGAATGTCGTCGGAAGCTGATTGCGTCGATTCTCCTCGGAGTCCTGGAATAACTGAGTTGGAGCGTTTCTAACTGAATTTCAAGGAGTTGGTTATTCGTTAGTTCTGCTCCGTTCTCCGCATGAGGAAATCGTCCATCCCTCCGGAGTTGGCACTTTAATACCAGAGTAATCTAACTCAAAAAACTGTCTTGTTCGATTGATGAGCGCCGATAAGTGGTTGGATAGACCAGATATGAATTCAGTCCACTGTATAATAAAGTTTAATATATGGCACATCCTAGAGAATAAATCTTTTGGAACGTTTCATCAGTTTAACAGATGAACAGATATAATTCGATACGTAAACTAGAATCAGCGCGTTATTTTAGTCATGGGTTGCTCTTTAAATGCGTAGCAATTTCCGTGAGCATTATCCTTCAGGAAATATTAGAATAGCATTATGTGATACAGTAACTGATTTTTGCTCTTTTGCGAGGTAGAGACTCCGTGATATAAAGGCGTTAGGGGCGATTTCGATCTTGAAAAACCTATAAGGAGAATGGGATGGAAGGTTTTTAATAACGCGTTATTCCTGTTGCTTGCGCATTGTGAGATGTAGAATTATATTGGGTAATAACTGCAAGTAGTTATTTTCTGTGCCATTAGACGTGAAAACCCAAACATGGAGTACTCTATAATTCCAGTGGTAAAAGACATAGATGGTTTATTTTTGAATATGTTTGTTGTTATCTGTTTAGAACGAGATCGAATTTGGAAACGGTTGAGATGTTTATTGGAGTGAAAGATGAAATATTCCGTTAAAGGGACATAATTATGGTTACCTCAGAATACAACAATGGATCCGAGTGTGTCTATGGAATGGATTGGTAATGTTACGAACGGTTTTAGTGGAGATGACATTCGTCGGTTCGCTATTGAATTGGCCTATACTCAATTTAGATATTATAAGGTGCGATCTACATTGAAGATCCTATTGATTTTACTGTTATATCGTTGTTACATCTGGTTCATTCGATCTAAACGTAATCAAATTTTTTACAGATGTGATCAGAATCATTTCTTATCTCATCGGGGGTGGGGGGTGACTCCCTCTGCATGGAATTTCTGAACATTACAATTAATCTCCAAACAGCAACACCATTACCATAACCGAATCATTAAAAGTTTTCAGCGGAGAGCATTACTAATAGTAAGTGAAAGTCAAGAATAATTTTCACCTTGCAGAAAACATCGTTGCGAACTTTGGAAAGCTCTTCAGTATACCAACGTACGGCAACCAATGAAAGTAACTCTCTATTTGCCACATACCAATTTGGAGGAAGTTTTACTGAGGTAATCGTAAAGAAGTGTTGTTTACCTAGTAAATATAATGAATACATTTACAGTGCTATGGAGCGAAATGCAGGAGATATTGCCTGCTTTTTCTGTTTCTATTTAACTATTTGTGAGAGTAAAAGGATAATTCGAGGATAAAACTACCGGCGTTGACCAATCCCTAAGAGATGCGCCATGCATTCGACTTCATAAAGCATCGTTGGAGATGATTGAATTCATATCTGGTCTTTACAATAATGACCCGCGGCGGCCTACCGATCTATCGAACCAGTGTTGCTACCCTCCCAGACAAGCCTGGTACCAATTTGTCGACTTCGGAGGGACGGAAAGCTTGGTGGGCCATAGGCGTGGGGATCGATTCCATGTGTGTGTCGCAGTGGCACCTCCAAGCACTGCGCCACACGCACCCATTGTTTGTGGGAGGTATTTGTGAGAGTGTCGAAAATAATTTTCTGCGTCAAAATTCAACATATTCGCGACCGCATGTACTAGCTGAAGTGCATATGGTGCAAAAACGTCTGTTTTCAAATTTAGATCAACATATCTAAGCCTTTAGTAGATTTCATTGTTTGGAATGAAAACACTCAGGGTGTACATATCTGTGGAATATAGGTACATTTATACCATTATGACGATATTCTAGGCATATGGTACCCTACAGTTATGGCTTATGTAGTACGGTTTTTTTAGTTTTTTTTTTGTCACTATCGGTCATGAATCAATATTGAACATTGAACAAGTGGGATTTTGCTTAGTATAACGTGATCACATCACGATGAACATATTGGTGTGGATTGGCTTGTATAAGTGGTTCAGCAGTTTTTCCATAGTTCCTGTACTGAACAAACAGCTTTACAGTGTGAAAACTTTTTACCAGGCGTACTTCGTGTAAATGGAAATTTACACAAAAAAGTTTTTCAAAGGAACTTATTCGTTCTCTATCAATACTATTACCTGTGGGGTGGACAATGTAGGATATTACGAGACAAGAACACAATTCGCATTTATGAATATACTTCCACACAGTCTTTTGGAACAGTATAGGTTTTTAACTCCGTTGTGCCTAAATATGGTTGAATATTATAAGTTCAAAAAATGCTCAATTGTACTTAGCACATTTGTGAAATAGACAACCAAAGGCTGATAGCACTGTGATAAGATGGGATGCACGAGTTACTGGAAAATTACATAGAAAAACCAAATTATAGAGCGGAGCTGATAGAAATGGACGAATTGTTTTTTGAGTGGTGGCGTGGACAGCATGAGTTAATTTCAATTCACAGTGTATGCGATGAACAATTTGGCCACGGGACTGCTACACACAGTTTGATGTCGTCGCGAATATCTTACGAACATTGCTTTGCTATTGTTGGTGTTTGAAGTAAAAAATTTTTAAAATTGACTGCCACGACCGACTTTCTATTAACCTCGGCATTGATCAAGTGATTTTCTTCGTATTTTTGTTGAGCAAACGCGAGGTGTTACTATTCTTTGTTCACGATTAAGCTGACGTTTCGGCGGATTTCGCCTTCTTCAGAGCCTGGAAAGGTCAAGTTGATAGCAACTCACTCGGCCAGACGCCTCCATAACCAAACAAAGAAAGAAACCCCAAACCAAGATTTCAATCACTTTGAAAATTGACGTTATTTTAGGGAACTGAACAAGGTAATTCGAAAAGCATGACTCGCAAGTCGTTGTCTCGTGAAGATATCGAGTCAGTGCTGGCTTCATTTTCAACGTCTGTCGATAGAAAGCAATTGGCTCGCTTCGAAAAGTATAGGAACATGTGAAGGTTAGTACATTCTAACATCGTTTAGTTCTTGAAAATATTCACCAGTTCTTTATATCCTACAAATACTATGATTGTGAATGTATTTTCATTGTTCACCTCCAAAATGTTTACATTTGTCCAAGTTTATTTTCTCGGATATTTTTATTTGTCATTGATCATCACTTGGAATAAAAGCATCTCGTATATTGTCAAAATTCATTTTTATTTGGCGAACTTACATTTTTTAATTTTCTCTCCCAGTTTCTTCGAGCAAAAAGACCTCGAAGTAATTCTATGTGTTACTGTTGCATTGAGCGTTGCGGCAACGCATGGTTTTGTTACATGATATCGTAAGTAGTCTAAAAACTGGTTGATCTTCTAGTTCAATGCACCAGTTTGGACTTTATAAGACAACTTCCACTTAGATTGTTACCACCGAAAAATGGTTTGGGGTGAGGTTGCGCAGTGATCGGTGATGCCGTCGATCAGGAAGCAAAGGCGCTTGTTCGATCCCTGCCCCAACAGTCTCTTCAAACTACGTGGGAACGCCTTAGGCTGGCTGTCTTCAAGATTTCAAGGATAATGAACGCGAATAGCATTCTACGACATACACTAAAAATTGCTTAGGCAGAAGCCGAAACATGTGAACCGTTGGAAGACTACTGTGAATGATAAATGCGAAGAACCGAATCGAATGCAAAAAACTTCGCAATCCGCACATAGATGTGATGAAGGTCACGTAAAATGAATAAAAATAAGGCCTAGTGTGTTCTACTCAACTCCATGTATGAAGGGAGAGTTCCTTCATTAGCGTGGTAAACGAGGCACTCGTGTCTAGCAAAACGGAAATTCTTTGCAAGCATTCTACAGTTAGGTATGTCGTTTATACTTCAGTTTGGACAAAAATATTGATTACAAACTTTGGTGGTCATCGCATGGTTGACCTTCCAGAACTCCCTCCCTTCTCACTTATTAGCGATTGGTTTACGATGGATATGGATTTGGCCGTCCTACTTTTCTTTGCATTAGATCTATCTTTATTGATCTATGTTTGCTACTTCGGATTATCCTTTAAATTCCGTGGAAAGTTTCGTTCGTTCAATGTTAAGAGATAGCATGATGTATGGTGCTTACGATGGCATTTTCAGGAATCTCCTTGACGGTGTAATAAGTTTTGAAGGTAGTGTTAGGTCTTATAGATGATTTTTAATAGACTTCAACTCATTTTCGCGGAGTCATTAGCGAGCGAGTTTCTTCCTCATCCAATCTATTGCTGACAAATTTTAAGTTGTCACTTTTAAAACCTATAAATCTTTTATGTTGGTTGGAATGATACGTAAAGGGCCATTGAGGAGTAGTGTGTCTACGCGACTTGCCCTCTGGTAGTTTCTGAAGATCGTAAACTTTTTCGAACTCACGAGGTTGATTCCAAGTTGGAGGGTTTCGAGCTGCACAGCGGAGCGAAGATGAACATGGACCCGATGAGCTGCTTCAAGGTGACGTTGCACGAAGTAACAAAAAGATATAGTGCAGGTGGATCAATTGTGTCTTGTCTCATAAGTGAGCATTGTACTTGTGACCGCAGATGTACGAGAACTAAAATTTCAGTGATTATACCTTCCTTCCAATATGCGTGTAAACATTCTAAACAGTGACAAAGGAACGAAATCAATGTGAAGAAATAACTTATTAACGACAAAAACATCGACTCTAGTTGATCATGTCCTCTGTGGTGGGTTGATTAAGTAAAATATGGAACAACTAAAATAACTTACAAGTGTTCTCCACCTAAGAATAGTTAGGATGACGGAGCGTAAAAACTTGCGAGATGAAATATGTATGTATTTGGAGCGAGTGTGGGCAAGTGCCACGTGTGGCAGGACAGACAAGTCGATCGTGTCACCACTTCGATGTGACAAGTGACCAACGGACGAGTATGGTGTGTAGGAATCAGTGGTGGCGTAGAGTGGCCAAATTCATATCGATCGACGATAACTATAATCTTGCTGACGCCAATATCATGATATAATGTCAACATAAGGGTTATATGAGTGTAGGGCTAGATAGTGAATATTCCCTATAATTCGTATGAAATGCTGAGATATTTGTAAAACTCCGGACCACAGGTGTATGCAGTGGAGAACGAACACGCGCTG